ATNTTTTTTAATAATATCTCTCTATTTACTGTTTCGAAAGCCCGTTTTAGATCCAGTGATACTGCTATAGTGTACAGATGATTACTCATTTTTTCCTTCCATTTAGTGACAATCAGTTGTAAAGCTGATATGGTATGCAGGTTTTCATCATTCATCATTTTTGTGCACCTCCCTGCTGTAGTAGATCTCACATTTTGAAAACATTTAACAGTTATTATGGAGTGATCAGTGATCTTGGACTCATAGTCACTCGAGAATTCCTGCAAAATATTTCTTCACATATTATCTTCATTTGATGGAGAAAAGCTGCATGACTTCCACTAGCTGAATGATATAAACTTCCTATTATTATCCATTTCGTGCTGCCACTGGTTACATATATTAATTTACACCAATTATTTCCATTTTTCACATAGTTTTTACCGTTTGTGAATTTAATATCTTTTCTAATATAAATAATTACACCTACTGTGTGTCCTGAGTTCGAGTCGCGTCTTATAGGTGTATAGCCTGATATTTCAAGTTCATGATTATTTCGCTTCTGGTTCGGGCTTCACTGAGTAAAATAATGACAGGATGGTAACAAACAATGTCAGCTATCAATTGAGTTTTGTGAGCTTACAAACTTTCTATGTTTAGATAAACAATATCTACATTGAAGTCAATTAATGTTGTATAATTTAGTTTTTTGCATCGTGTTCCATTCCATTCAGATATTTTATAATTTCAGAAATATCACCTTCAGCTATGATTTTATTCAGCTTTAATTTTAATTTTTTGTAGTACTCTCGCTGAGCAGTCGTTTGATCTGCAAATATTCTGATAGAAGGAATATTATCATTGATGTTTTTACGGTTTCTTAGTATATTTACTGCTGCATCATTAAATTCCAAGATAACCTTTATGAGACGTGTTTTTCTCATCTTCTTTTCTATCATTCCTATTTACAGCATTCGATTCATCAATATTTAAAATCATTATGTTGTTTGATCTCTTTTTTCTTCCTTCTGTTTCATTCATGAACTCCTCCATACCAAAGTTGGTTTCACTACTCTCAATTTTCATAAAGTTTTCTTTTAGGAATTTATTTTCATTTTTTAAAGCTTTAACTTCTTCTTTCAAGTCTTAGTAGTGAACAGGATTTTACCAAATAAATGTGTCAATTATGTGTAAAAGTCTCAAAATCTCCAAAAATTATTAAGTGTTTTTTTATATACAATAAAAAGTTTAGATAAAAAAGGGATGGCAGCATTGCTGCGAGCAAGACTACTGCGCCCCTCGACGCAGGAGGAGGGGCGCAGGAGGATGGACAAATGTGCCGAAAGGAAGCAACTTCCAAAAACCTAGAGAGAGAGAGACAGAGAACACAAATATGTAGCTAAGGAAATAGATCAGTTGTGTCGTATTCGAGGAAAATGCACTCCTGTGGCTGCAGGCCAAGAGGAGCTCTCCTAGTCCACTCAGGGAACCGGACGAAATGTGCAGCTCTGAAATCGTATATCTTGACCATCTTGTTGAAGGCAATCATAATGGCATAATGGAGAGATTTCAGTTGATTGGTCAATATGAAGATTGATGGACGTTCAAAGTGCAAAAGTGCAACCAACAAATCAGCTGTAGCCGAAATGCTCTCAACTAAAAAGGAACTCACATTATCGCATTCAAAGATACAGTAATACTCAATAAAACTCAAAATTACTCTCTAAACATTTGATACTCTACATCATGATATATTGAACTAAACATTAGAGGGAATATCCTCAATAAGTTTATACATTGTATGAGTGATAGACAACAAAATGTTTATATCGAAAATCGAAGAAGTTTCATAAGAAAAATGAATTTTGGGGTACCGCAAGGCCCTATTCTTGGCCCACTCCTTTTTTTACTATACATCAACTTGTTGACGAATTTAACGAATTTATAACAATTCAATTAGCTATACCAATTCTATTAAATTCCTAGGATTATTTATTGATGAAAATTCATCGTGGACAAAACATATTAAAATTATTCGAAAAAAAGTAGCACCCCTCATTGGTATTCTATTTGAAATCTCTTAAATTTTTGAAAAATATTCATTTCAGTCGTATATACTCACAACAGCATTATCTAACTACTATTTGGGTATCAGCCAATGAATCCACAATAAAACCTTTGAAATCTTTACATAATAAAACTATTAATTGCATAAATATAATAATCGTACTCGGGAACAACAGCGAATTTGTATAACCAAAAAAATGTATTAGTTTTGAACACACTATACAAATAGAAAGTTTGTTGTTTCATTCATTCATTGAATTGAAGTAAACATATAGGATTATATGATTTTCATATAGCCAGAATCATCTGAATATTTGATATTATTTATGAAAATTTCACATTTTACTGTTCGCTGATATTGATTATTCCACTCGTATTTTTGTATTCAATTATTTATATTTTTTATTATTTTGGTTTTTGATACCAATTGACAAATTTATTGTTTACTGCTCACATCAATTACTCGTGTTTTCTCTTCAATATTTCATTATTTTGTTAAATTTGTATCTTAATTCAATTTAGTTAATCCGTATTCATACACATTTAATGTTTCTTGGGATAATAAAGACAGTGCACTTCTTTAATGCCCCCCCATTTTATTTTTTGAACGGGTTAACTCAAAAAATTGAAATTTGGGATAATGAAATTAATGCATGAATACTTCATTTTGAAGTGAAATTGACAGATAAAACTTTCAAGATGGCGACTGAGCGTCATCTGGGAAAAAAATATTGAATAGAAAGGGGGGTCTTGTGACACATCATTTTAAAGCTCCCGACGAATACTTCACAACCCGAGAATATGAAGTCAATATCTTCATATACTACAAAATGGCAGAACATTTAATAGTTTCCTGAAGACAAACACATTAACATCGATATTTCGAGAAACATTCCATTTTATCTGCCATAAGGCAATTCCAACAACCCGATAAGGTTTGTTAAGTTATTTTTTGTTTATGAAAACAATAAAAATGTACAACAATAAACATCATTGTTCAGTTAGAATATTCTCATTTAGTTTTCGGTTTTACTAGTAGAAAGGTACCACATCAACAATCTCCAAAATGGTCAATTCTCGTCCATTGGAAGAAAAAAATGAAGCGATTTTTATTTACGGTGTGACGCGTAACTTTCACGCGTCGCACGAAATGATTTTCAATGAACGTTTTCCAAATCGTCCTATCTGTAGAGAATATTTGAAGGAACTTGTATCCAAATTCATAACTACCGATAGTGTACATAACAAAAAGCCCCCAGGTCATCCGTCCATTCCGGAAAAACTGCAAGTGCAAATATTTGGTGAGATGGTAGTAAATCCTGAACAGTCTATTTATTCCGTCGCGAATGTTTGTGAGGTGTCTCCACTGTGTGGAGACTTTTGAAGAGGAATAGGTAGCATCCATACAAAATTAAAATGGTACACCAATTAACTGAAGATGACCCTGATCGAAGAACAGAATTCTGCGAAATCATAACGGAAACCATTGCAAGGCATCCTACCTATCTTCGCAATATTTGTTTTAGTGGCGAATGTCCATTTTTTTCAAACGAATGTTCACAGACAAATTGCCGTTATTGTAGTGACACAAACCCTCACGTTTTCCGAGAAACACATACCCAATATCCAGAAAAAATTAACGTTTGGGCAGGAATATTGGGAAACCATATTGTAGGACCTTTATTCATTGATCAAAATTCAACAAGGGAACTGTATTTGAATATGCTGGAAACTACTGTTGACCCTCTCATCATTGAAATTGTCGAGGCGAATCCTAATGAATTCGATATGGATATTGTATTACAACAAGATGGAGCACCACCACATTACTCCAGACAAGTAAGAAACTATTTGGATACTACTTTTTCCGGTCGTTGGATTGGCCGTCGAGGTCCTACAGAATGGCCAGCCTGCTCGCCAGATTTGACACCTTTATACTTTTTTATGAGTCTATTTGAAGCAGAAGGTATACGAAACTGAACCTGCTTCAAAATTGGATATACGACAGAGAATAATAAATATTTGTAGAGATATTAACGTTACTTGTTCGAAAATGTTTGGCGTGAAATATCGGATAGGCTGTTCATGTCAAGAAGTTCAAGGCAGCCATTTTGAGCATCTTCTGAACTGACCTCAAGCTTATTACCTCATATTATGTAGTTAAAAAGTCAATGTATTCAGTCAATTATTTAAAGTTCCACCATTTTGTAGTAGTTGAAGATATTGACATCATATTCTAGGATTGTGAAGCATTTGTCAGGAGCTTCAAAAAGATGTGTCACAAGACCCCCCTTTCCGTTTAATGTCTTTTTCCCGATGGCGCCCAGTCGCCATCTTGAAAGTTTCATCTGTCAATTTCATTTCAAAATAAAGTATTCATGCAGGGGGGGCTTTGAAGAAATGCACTGCATATAGACAGGCAATAGGTATTCAAAAACACAGGGATAAGTCCAATAGAAAAGAAGATGCAATGGACATCAATAAAATCTGGCTATCTGTCCTTACTGGTACACAAATGAGGTCAGGTAATCCAATTAAGAGAAATCATCGCCTTTGATAATGTTTATCGCAGTAGTAGACGAAACGTCAGGCATAATAACCTGCAGATCACTGCCAAAAAATCCGGAAAATAGTTTTCACAGGTATCTCCGGCCGTGACAAAAATGTTCGCAAATTGAACTTGTTTTTAACACCGGCTGAATTCGTTCGAAATGATTTGGATTTATCTATGAAAACTCTCTCGCAAACTCTGAACGCAATTTTTCTATAAATTTTGACCATAATATGAATAGTCCAACTTACAGTTTCTTTAAAAAGTTTTTAAACAAGTGTTCTAGAGTGAATATAATGGAAAATTCTTCTGCTGCTGCACGAATAAAAATGAGTTTGACTCAAGTATTCTTATTGCAATCTAGTTCGATGATTAAAATAAGGAATATGGTTCAAAAACTCACCTTGCGTTTATGGAAAATTTACTAACTTCATTCAACTTTAAATTTAGCTCATGGTCATCGGTTAAAATGATATCACATTGGCCGCAGCGGAAATCTAAAAACTGAAAGTTGAAACTGTCTTTCTGAAATTAAATATCATACTTACAAAAAAATATCGCAAATAATAAAGTCCAGGAATTCATTTTCCGTCTGGTGTAATCTCCTTCCATCACTCACCTGTAATTGAAAGTAAAATGATATGTAAGCTAAGAGAATTTTTTCACCTTCAATAATCTACTTTGTAATTGATTGCGATCAGTCGATAATTTATCTCTCAAAATTCAGATTGTGATTTCTTTTTTATATTCTCACATACTCCAAATGAAACATTCAAAACGCATAAATAAACGTTCTAATCTCTAATGATCCAAATGAAACCAGAACTTAATAGTTGATAAAATAGATTATTCAATTATGAAACAGTAAAACTGTACCTTATAAATGACGTGATTTCGGAGAAATTCTGTAGAGATGTTCATGTGATTGTCTATAAATCAGCTTATTCAATTACTTGATTGACTATTCATTACTAAACGAAAACTGGTGCGCGCTGTTTTTTCACAATATTAAGGCGGATTTTCACAACAAAACAGCAACTGTGTCGATTTCTACAAAACAAAAACGTGTGTCGCGTGCGACTGTTTATGCCAACGGAATGTCTTGTTGACAGGCGAAAAGATATAAAGGTTTCGGTGTTTTGTCTGTGTTTTTGTAATATCACAAACTACATTTAACAATTCAACAACCGGAATTATTCCTCTTCAAAAGGTTCAATTAGGGGAAATTCGTTAGCGTTGCGGAAATTCTCATAGATAACCTAGGGAAGTCGATTCTTGAGCATCTTCTGTTTGAGCATTTCCTGTAATGGCATAGATATGTGAATGTCGTTTTAGTTTCACAGCTACTACGAGAAAATTAGATATCTTTCATAGGGATATTAATAAAATTCATGAAAACATCAAATGTACTATTGAAGTAGAAGAAGACAATTCAAAATTGATCAATTTCGTGAACTCAATAATTAGTAGAATAAACAACAAACATGGTTGATTTTTCAATTTATCACAAACCTTTCTATTATGATATTACTATTCATTACGATTCTACCTATCCGTATCAACACAAAATAGCATCTTATAATGATGCATAGCATGATTCATAGATTAGTCAATGTTCCTCTTTCAATAGATAATTTCAATAAAGAACTCAATATCATTAGGTAAATTGCAGTAAACAACGGATTCAAAACTGAATTAATAGACACAATCCTTTCCAAAAAGGTCTAAGCAAAAGCGATTAGGGGCGTTTTCCTATTGATAACACTGGTCAACAAAATTGTAACTGTTTTTTGTCACATGAAAACTTATATCAAACTTTGAATCTACTAGTGTCACTAACCAATATTGTATCAATGAAAAAAAAAATTGGCAGAACAGGAATGCTAGCAGATTATTGTTGGAAACTCAGGTCCCTCCTGAGTTTCCAACAATAATCTGCTAGCATTCCTGGTCTCCATTTTCATTGATAACGCTTCTCTATTAAGTTAATGTCCTGATGGAATCTCTTCCCTTGTTCGTCACTCACAGCACACAAATCTACATGAGAGTCAAAACATACGTATTTTTTAAGACACATTACACCCCAAAGCTTTATCTGACATTATTAGTTCCTGTATTAAGTCTTTGTGTTTTACGCTTTATGATTTCCTAGGAAATTTTGGACAACACTCACAAAACATTTCCAGGCGATTTTTTCCTGGTCATTTAGTCCTCCTTCAGAGCTCTTATCCTTCATAAGTTGTCGTATTTGTTAGCTTACACATATTCTCCTTTCAATTTTCGCGTCGCTGAGTTTGGGGAATTTCTCTTTCAGATATAAAAATCCACTGACATCTTTGCGCATAGCTTTTACAGATTTTTTCATCAGACCGAGTGCACGGTGGTAGAAGTATGTCATCAGAGTTCACTAAAGGCTTGTTTTTAACATTTTTACGGACTGGAATAAGTGACTGGAATGGAGCGAGTCTATAGAGGAGATGGATGTCGAGTTAACGACTCCAACTGACCTCCCTGTATAAATTTAGTTCTGGAGCGAGTCTACAGAGAGATGGATGTCGAGTTTAGGACTCCAACGGACCTCTCTGTAAATTTAGTTCAAGAGCGAGTCTATAGAGGAGATGGATGTCGAGTTTACAACTCCACTAGGCCTCCCTGTAAAGTTACAGAGAGATGGATGTCGAGTTTAGGACTCCAACGGACCTCTCTGTAAATTTAGTTCAAGAGCGAGTCTATAGAGGAGATGGATGTCGAGTTTACAACTCCACTAGGCCTCCCTGTAAAGTTAGTTCAGAGAGGTAGATGTCGAGTTAACGACTCCAACTGACCCCCCTGTAAATTTAGTTCAGGAACGAGTCTACAGAGGAGATGGATGTCGAGTTAACGACTCCAACTGACTTCCCTGTAAATTCAGTTCAGAAGCGAGTCTATAGAGTTGATGGATGTCGAGTTTACGACTCCAACGGGCCTCCCTGTAAATTTAGTTCAGGGAGGTAGATGTCGAGTTAACGACTCCAACTGACCTCCCTGTAAATTTAGTTCAGGAGCGAGTCTACAGAGGAGATGATTTTTCAATTGGCGCGGGTAGATTTTGGCGCCCCGTAGCGGCCATTTTGTTTTGGTGACATCTGTCAAATTATTCAGTTGTTTGTGCCAAATCATCATGGCAAGTTACACGATTGAACAGCACGTTTAAATGATAAAAATTTATTATCAAAATGAGTGTTCGTTAACGCACACGTTGCGCGCATTGCGCCCATTTTACGGTAAACGTGGTGGCCCTTCAAAGTCGACTCTTCAACGTTTGGTGGCCAAATTTGAGACGACCGGTTCAGTAAACAATCAGCCAATACCCGTACGTCCAAGGAACGCAAGATCGGCCGAGAACATCGCCGCGGTCCGTGAAAGTGTACAGGAGAACCCGAGGCAGTGTATTTCTCGCCGTGCACAAGAACTCGGTCTTTCGCACACTTCAACTTGGCGAATTTTGCGTCGGGACTTAGGCCTACACCCGTACAAGACCCAACTGACCCAGGAACTCAAAGTTCATGACCATGGAAAACGCCGTTTGTTCGCTGACTGGGCTTCGAATCGTTTGGCCATTTTGTCTGAAAAATCATATTTAGTGACGAAGCGCATTTTTGGATGAATGGCTGTGTTAACAAGCAAAATTGCCATATATGGGCCGACACCAACCCACGCGAGGTTCACTAGGTGATAATGCATCTTCAAAAAGTTACCGTTTGGTGTGGATTTTGGGCCGTCGGCGTAATTGGTCCGTACTTTTTTGAAAACGAAGTTAGTGAGGCGGTCACCGTCAACAGCGAGCTCTATAGAACGATGATAACTAATTTCTTATGGCCCAAATTGAACCATATGGACCTGGACGACATGTGGTTCCAGCAGGACGGCGTTACGTGCCACACAGCAAACACCACGATTGACATTTTGCATGAACGATTTGAGGGTAAGGTTATCTCTCGCAGGGGTGATGTGAATTGGCCACCAAGGTCATGCGATTTGACCCCGCTAGACTTTTTCCTGTGCGGTTTCTTGAAGTCGCAGGTCTATGTAAATAAACCACAATCGACCGATGCCTTAAAGGTGAAGATAACACAGGCCATCGCTCAAATTCAGCCGGATCTATGTGGAAGAATCATTGAAAATTGGACCACTCGGATCCGTGCCACCGTAAGAAGCCGAGGCGGGCATTTGAATGATGTCATATTACACACTTAATGGCATACATGCACCTTTCAAATAAAAAAATCATTTTGTTAATACCTCACACACAGCTTGTTTTATTCCATTTCAACATCTACCCCCCCTTATTGAAAAACCCTTTATATAATTATAATACAAAATCAAATTATGTTTGAATTCTGCCATACTTCTCGACTCTTTAACGTATTGTTGTAAACCATTGTACTGAATGAGTCCCTTAAAAAATAAACTTTTTACATTATTAGAGGTACTCTGCCTATTTACATATAAATGATTCTGGCCTCTAGTACTGTATTTGGTTTACTGTTACAATAAACTTACCCATGTATGTTGAAGTGAGTTCATGTATCATTTTATAGATATAGATCATTTATAGATATAAGTCAGTCTTCGCTCCACAGTAAATAACTGTAAAGTATCCAGCATCAGTGATATAGGAGTTGGCCTACTATATCGCAATACTATTCTCATTGCTCGATTTTGTAGCTTTTATAATTGGGATATTTTATTCAGAACAAACCCGTATATAATGTAGGGCAATATTCAAAATGAGGTTGAATGAAAGTCTTATACATAGTTATTGTGAAATTCAGACTTAAGTTTTGGAACACTCTAGAAAAGAAATACAGTTTTTTCAAGACTTTTTTTGATATATTCAAAGTGGCTACTAAATAATAAATGATTAACCAACATAAATCCCAGATATTTAAATTCCTTTACAATTTCAATTTTTTCATTGTTTATTTGTATGTTAATGTTACTACTATTTATTTGTTTATATTTATAAGGTGTAGTAATTATCATTGACTTACTTTTACTTACATTTAACTTGAATTTATTCATTTTCAAATATTCATCCATATTTTTCAGCACATCATTTACTTTGATCACTGCTCTATCGATATTCCCATCACCTACTGATATCAAAGTATCATCTGTGAATATATGGATGTAGTCACATTCAACATATTTTCCATATCATTAATATACATTTAAAATAATAGAGGGCCCAAAATACTACCCTGAGGAACTCCATGATTTACTGTAATAGCTAACGACATAACATCACAAATGTTTGTTGTCTGTTTTCTTTTTGTAAGGTATCCTCTAATCTTATTGAATATCTCTATACCATATTCATTCAGTTTTTTCAATAATATCTCTCTATTTACTGTTTCGAAAGCCCGTTTTAGATCCAGTGATACTGCTATAGTGTACAGATGATTACTCATTTTTTCCTTCCATTTAGTGACAATCAGTTGTATAGCTGATATGGTATGCAGGTTTTCATCATTCATCATTTTAGTGCACCTCCCTGCTGTAGTAGATCTCACATTTTGAAAACATTTAACAGTTATTATGGAGTGATCAGTGATCTTGGACTCATAGTCACTCGAGAATTCCTGCAAAATATTTCTTCACATATTATCTTCATTTGATGGAGAAAAGCTGCATGACTTCCACTAGCTGAATGATATAAACTTCCTATTATTATCCATTTCGTGCTGCCACTGGTTACAGATATTAATTTACACCAATTATTTCCATTTTTCACATAGTTTTTACCGTTTGTGAATTTAATATCTTTTCTAATATAAATAATTACACCTACTGTGTGTCCTGAGTTGGAGTCGCGTCTTATAGGTGTATAGCCTGATATTTCAAGTTCATGATTATTTATTTCGCTTCTGGTTCGGGCTTCACTGAGTAAAATAATGACAGGATGGTAACAAACAATGTCAGCTATCAATTGAGTTTTGTGAGCTTACAAACTTTCTATGTTTAAATAAACAATATCTACATTGAAGTCAATTAATGTTGTATAATTTAGTTTTTTGCATCGTGTTCCATTCCATTCAGATATTTTATAATTTTAGAATTATCACCTTCAGCTATGATTTTATTCAGCTTTAATTTTAATTTTTAGTAGTACTCTCGTTTCATCTGCAAATATTCTGATAGAAGCAATAATATCATTGATTTTTTTGAGGTTACAAGCTGTTTGAGTGTTTTCCACATTTTCTTTGGATTTGACCTATTTTCATCAATTTTATCATGATAATTCCACATTTTTCTCCCATTTTTATTTAATCCAGAACGCCTCCGTATCCTCTCAATGTGATTCTCAAGTTAACCCCCATCCTCTTAATAGTGATAATTTATCAACAAACACCAGTCTCTGAGGAATGCAGAAAAAACTTCAGGTTCAATCACAGCTTGTTTTTGTTGCTCGTAGTTTTTGTATATTTTTTGGGACTAATGACAAATGCTTTTTATGTTGATTATGTACTCAATTTTAGAATGCACTTGCTGCTATTAACTTCTCTGGTAGATGCAATAGTAGACAAGGCTGTCAAGAACATTTAAGGTCCCCTAGGTTTGTTATCTTCGACTAGGAAACAAACAGTTTTGAAAACAATTGATAAGGCAAAACTGTTGTCAAATAATATTGGCATGGTGACAGAGTTCAAAGAAACAAGAAAATTAAAAAAAAAGAAATGCCAGAGGTAACCTGAAGATGATGCATCAAATCTCACAGCAGAAGACCTTTTTGAAAATTTACTTTTTCAAATCTGTGATACAATCATTACTGACCTAACCAGCAGATATTGAAAATGATTGTTGACAAATTTAGTTTCTTGTGCGGGGATCAAATTAAAAAACTAGCCGTGGTTAATTTGATAATTCAGGCTAGGGACCTACAACACAAACAAATGATATGAACGGAGAATAACTTGTAACTGAAATATAAAGTTTCACGCTCCAACCACAGAAGAAGAGTTGGAAGGTTCAACCGCAGCTGCTATGCTCAGAATACTACATGAAAGCAATATAGAAGAAAATTACCCAAATATATATACGTTGTTCTTAAAATATTCGTGACACTTTCAGTGTCTGTAGCAACTGGTGTAAGAAGCTCCAGCAAATTGAAGCCCATAAACACTTATTTAAGAAATGCTACGACTTACGTATTTGAGACCGAGGTAACTTCTTCAGAGTAATTTCCAATATCATCGAAGATGTCACAGACCAATTATTTAATCATTGAAATCATTGAAAGCAGATTCAATATATAAATTATTGCTATCGCTCAGGGATATTTCATTTGATTATTTCAAACTAGATTAGATACCAGCGATCTTTGACTCGGCGTTCTGTGTCTATATCAAGATTATTTTAGAAGATAGGATGGGGAAGAACAAAAGTGTGATTTTGATCTTGTTTCTACATTAGAACTCTCCAGTCGTATCATATCAACGATGTGCTGTAGATTAAAATATAACAATAATATAGAAATAACTCAAAGATAAACGGAGATCAAATGTGTCCCAAGACTGTATCGAGGATAGATATATAGGTACATACGTATAGGAAAATAATTCCTCATAATTCATTCCTTCCAACTGCCTACGTAGTACATTCTGCTAAATACCTATTGGAAAATAATTACATCCTCGGCTAATACCACGCTGGATATTGAAATATATCCGACAGACATTTATGCAACTTTAATGAAATGAATGAAAAACACTTTTGTCTAATTTCCACCACATCACAAACGTGATGTTTCTTTAGCATTTATTTTTTTTATACTCTGCAAATAGGTCTTTCATACAGATCACCTAGTTTAGACATTGTTTCAATGAGAAACGTACGAGGTAACGGAGTACCCATGTATTCGGCTTCAAAACTGGTGCGCGGTGCGAGAGGACTTCGTTCGTTGCCTGGCAACGGCGAATCAAAATCACATAACAAGTCCCTTTTCGGTTTAGAAATCGTGAACTTAACGAAAAAATAATTATACGTGATGTCTTACTACACCCGTGTCCCGCTTGTGATATTTCGTGATTTTTGCTGACACCCCCGTTTTCAAGCCTCACGTGATTAATGAACGGCCTCTAAGTCCGGCCGTACACGGACCACATATTTGCAGTTGAGGCAACCACAACTTCGCGGTTGACCCAACCACATTATTGTGGTTGACTTGCGATCATATAAACCGCACTTGCAGTTGAGGCAACTGACATCTATATAAAAAGAAAAACGTTGACAGTGATGTTCTGACGACTGTCTACTACGCTAATTTTTACTCTGCAATAAAGTTTGGTATTATCATTTGGGGCTCCATTCATGAGCTGAACAGAGTATTTCTCTGCCAAAAAGGGTAATCAGAATACTTTTTGGTATGAAGGTCAAAGATTTTTGTTTACCATATTTTGCTTTAGTCTGCAGCAACTATTAAATAATTTTCTGACTATGCATATTTTTATTTCTTGATTTTAGCAAAATCAAATCAAGTGGCGCCCCATCCAAAAAAAGGTTGTTTCACAAAATAAAAAACCCACGACCACTGCTCTCCCAATATATTGACTGTCGTTAGCAACTTGTTACCTTTCTTTAAAATTCTCTATTAGCCGTGGACTTTCATTCGATCATCATAAAAAAATATCAGAAAGAGGTAATAAAGTTTCATAGAGCTCAAATAGTTACCATATTTTATTGAGATTGGTGTCAAGGGAACTGGAGAAGCACGGGTTCTGCTCCACCGATTTCACGAAGTAAATGGAAGATTGCACGTCTTCTTGCTGACCCGAAATGAACGTATTGAACGATATTGCGCGGCAGCAGTGCCCCCTTCATCGACGCGACTCCAATAATTATCGGTGTATGGTATCGCGATCGCTTCAGTGTGCACTAGATTAGTTGTTTTCATTATGTATGCACGATTATGAAAAATCGGTGTGAAATCAGAATCGAATCACCTGTCGCATCGCTTATCGTATCGCTCCAGTGGGAACCGCGCCTTAGGTAGGTGAGCAACACAAATGTGTTACAGTTTACAGTTTCCTTTGTGATATGGCGGTGGACGGACGTGCCGGCAGCGACCGTCCACAAAGAAAGAACGCGGACGCAATTGTTGGAGATGAAACTCAGTTTGTGTCGTGAATGTCTGTCGTCATAGCACGTTCTATGATATATAAATTAAACATTTGTGTGAACAGTCTATAAGTGTTGAAAAGAAACAGCACTCCCATTCACGCCAGTTGGAGGCCGTGGTGGACAGGATTTTACCAAATAAATGTGTCAATTATGTGTAAAAGTCTCAAAATCTCCAAAAAATATTAAGTGTTTTTTTATATACAATAAAAAGTTTAAATAAAAAAGGGGTGGCAGCATTGCTGCGAGCAAGACTACTGCATCCCTCGACGAAGCTCCTATCAATTCTGATAGGAGGAGGATGGGCAAATGTGCCGAAAGGAAGCAACGTCCAAAAACCTAGAGAGAGAGAAAGAGAACACAAATGTGTAGCTAAGGAAATAGATCAGCTCTGAAATCGTATATCTTAACCATCTTGTTGAAGGAAATCATAATGGCATAATGGAGAGATTTCAGTTGATTGGTCAATATGAAGATTGATGGATGTTCAAAGTGCAAAAGTGCAACCAACAAATCAGCAGTAGCCGAAATGCTCTCAACTAAAAAGGAACTCACATTGTCGCATTCAAAGATACAGTAATACTCAATAAAACTCAAAATTACTCTCTAAGCATTTGATACTCTACATCATGATATATTGATCTCAGAACTAAACATCAGAGGGAATACACTGTATGAGTGATAGACAACAAAATGTTTATATCGAGCTATTTGAAGCAAAAGGTGTACGAAACCGAACCCTGCTTCAATATTGGATATACGGCAGAGAATAATAAATATTTGTAGAGATATTGACGTTGCTGTGTTCGAAAATGTTCTGATTGAAATATCGGATAGGCTGTCATATGTCAAGAAGTTCAAGGCAACCATTTCGAGCATCTTCTGAACTTACCTGAAGCTTATCACCTCATATTATGTAGTTAAATGTCAATATATTCAGGCAATTATTAAAAGTTCCGCCATTTTGTAGTAGTTGAAGATATTGACATCATATTCTAGGGTTGTTAAGCATTTGTCAGTTGCCATTTCGAAAGTTTCATCTGTCAATTTCACTTCAAAATAAAGTATTTATGCATTAATTTCATTATCCCAAATATCAATTTTTTGATTTGACGCGTTCAAAAAATAAAAAGGGGGGACATTAAGGAAATGCACTGTATATTCGAGGCGAGTGTACCAATAAAATAAAATAAAAAAATCGCCAATTGAATGTACGTAGCTAGCGAAACATTCACCTTATTTTTTTGAACATTATCAATACCTTAATATTTCAAAATCAGATTTATTGCCATTACTGAAGAAATTATGAAGAAGATAAATAGTTTCTGGAAAATAATAACATTGAAAACGTTTCGAGAAAAAGTTCGAAACATGACTAACTGCAGTATTGAAATGGTAAAAGGTAAATAATATGAGTTATTTGTTATTGTGCATTTTGATGTGACTGTTATCGCCATAACACATTAATATTCAAATATGAACTAGTGGTTTCAAAGATAATGCTAAAGTAACATGTTTTTGCATTGCCCTTGTGATATCGGATACTCCTTAAAGAAAGTATTTCAGTATACTATACAGCGAAGACAATAAATGATAAATATTTACAGGAGTATATATCAAAATTTAAACATTTGAAAACTATATTTCCTTCATTTTCATTATTTTCATTTCTCAAATATGTAGTTCACAAAGCTTCGTTCAGGGGCGTTTGCTTGACTATTTTATGATTTTTTGTTTGGGAAACATTATAAATTCATGCTCACCTTTTCAGAACAATTATACACAACTCTACAACTATAATAGTGATCATTACCTCATTACATCTGATTATCAAACAATACAATTCGTTACTTTACTCTCAAATCGGCTGACAGGTAATTATTTCGAGTACTGCGGAAGATGAAAATATGTGCAGTTAGCTTGGAGAAGCTAGCTGTAATATAAAAGAGAAAGAAAGCATTCAACAAATGGAAATAGGGAACAAAACAACAGAGAACATGAAAAGCAACTTCTTTCTTGATTCATCCTGTGCAGAAGTTGAATTCTGTCATTTTTCAGGTTAGTATATCGTGTAAATCATTCATCATTATTATTTTTAACCTGAGTTTGCGCTGGTCGGGCCCTATCCCACAAAGCTCCGATACATTCAGGAGGGCGCACCAGCATTATTAACTAACGACCACTTCCCACACAGTGGGGTAGGTGATTATTATTATTATTATTTTTAGCCTAAATTTGCGCTGGTCAGGCCCTATCCCTCGGAGTCCCGATTCATTCAGCAGGGGGCGTCAGCATTATCAAACAATGACCACTTCCTACACCGTGGGGAAAGTGATCATTGGTTCCGAGAGTCTTGTGTCCTGAGAAAGCTCAGTGAGTCAAAAATGACAGACTTCTGCATTTTCCCGGCTAAGATTTCTGCCTTAGTGTGGCAAACCGGCATCATTCCAATAATCAGAACAACCACCTTGACAGAGTAGTCTGGATAGAGTCTGCGGAGTTCGAAGAGAAAATCTCGATATTCTATCAGTTTTTCCTTCTTTACGTACGATATTCGTCTCGCCAGGAGCTGAAAACTCCACGACAAATATCGTATTGTTCTGGTGGCCTAGAAGGATCAGGCTTATTAGTAAGAGCCTGAGGGTTGAGANGGGTGGCCCAGCATTATTAACTAACGACCACTTCCCACACAGTGGGGTAGGTGATTATTATTATTATTATTTTTAGCCTAAATTTGCGCTGGTCAGGCCCTATCCCTCGGAGTCCCGATTCATTCAGCAGGTCGCGTCAGCATTATCAAACAATGACCACTTCCTACACCGTGGGGAAAGTGATCATTGGTTCCGAGAGTCTTGTGTCCTGAGAAAGCTCAGTGAGTCAAAAATGACAGACTTCTGCATTTTCCCGGCTAAGATTTCTGCCTTAGTGTGGCAAACCGGCATCATTCCAATAATCAGAACAACCACCTTGACAGAGTAGTCTGGATAGAGTCTGCGGAGTTCGAAGAGAAAATCTCGATATTCTATCAGTTTTTCCTTCTTTACGTACGATATTCGTCTCGCCAGGAGCTGAAAACTCCACGACAAATATCGTATTGTTCTGGTGGCCTAGAAGGATCAGGCTTATTAGTAA